CGCGACGGCTCCCCTCGATCGGAAACTCGCGGCCCCGAGACACAGTGCCCGTTGCGCTTCCGGTCTCCGTCTTCTGCGCTGAATGCTCCGCCTCCCGGGCCTTCATCGCCTTGTACCGCGAGCGGGCGTACGCTAGCAGAACCATGCCCAGAAGCAACTTCAGGATCAACAGGAGGATAAACGCCGTCAGGATCAGCACAATCGTGAAGATGTACACCGATTGCGCGGGCGAAGGCATCGCGTTGGCCAAGACCGTTCGGAAGAAAGCGCTGGCGTGCGCGGCCGAGGCAGGGAGGATAGTACGCAGAGTCAGCGGCGGCGCGGACGGGATCGGCGACGGGACGTAGTGGCTGTGGATCGAGGCGAGGGAGGTCGCTTCGACGGCCGTCGACGACGGCTGGTGCGGAAGCAGGGCGGCCAGGAACATCTGATACGTCTGGACAGAGACCCGGAAAAAGAGGCAAGACAGCGGGATCACGGGGAGGCCCAGACGCTTTGTGAGGTTCTGGTCGCCAAACGCATTGGTATAGTAGTCCTTGGCCAGAACATCCAAAAAGCGTCCGTAGATCGCCGGCCGGGTGTTGTTGAACTTGCTGATGTATGCATGCTTGAGCCAGTCCACGAGCATCTCTGACCCGAGCACAACCAAGAACGGGCCCAACACCTGCGCCAATGTGGGCAGGAAGGAATTGACTTGGCTGAATGAGGAGATAAGTGACGAGGGAAAGAAGGTGAAAGACTGCGGGAGAATAGAGGATGAGGATCTGGGAGGAGTCGACAGAGGGGTGCTGTTGGTGCTGGTCGACTGGCTGCTCAGACTGGAGCTCAACGTGCCAACAAAGTTGAACGCACCGGTCTCGACGATGTTGCGCGAGGCGATGATTGTGAGCATCAGCCAGAGCTGGAATCTCTCGACCACATCGGCACACGTGAGCTGGAACAAGTTCTCCTTTTCAAACTTCTTGAAGACCGTCGACTTGATCTCAACAAACTGGTTCGAAAGCAAAAGCGTGATCAGCGCGTTCGAGTACGAGTTGACCGCCACATTCAGCGTCATGACTTGGTAGAACAACGCTGTGGCGTGGGTCACTGTATAAGCCAAGGCCAGCAGAAAGAGGCCAAAGGGCCGAAACACCTTGCTGCGTCCGTCCGGGCGACGCTCTAGAGCCTCACGTGAGAAGAGACACTCGAGCACGTCTTGCCCGATGGCAGCGAACAGCCGGTCACCGACCTCCAGCACATTGTATATCACATACAGTTTGATCGCCGCCTGGCCTCGAATCCAGTGATACATTCGACTGGCGTCAAAGTACATGAGGACACCGCATGTGGCAATCATGAGCAGTCCCTTGAGGATGTCGGCTTTGTCGTCAGGCAGCAGAGCAGAGGGGATCGACTTTTGCCGGCGATGCCGGTGCTTGGATGTATCGGCACGGTGCCGTCGCCGCGAGTCCACAGTCTTAGTTCTTGATTCTCGCTCAGCTGAAGCAGCTCGAGGTCTAGGTTCAGCCTCTGAGACGTGAGCGGACTTCTTCTGCCTCCGCCAGACTCTCCCAACTCCCTTTATGACAAAGTCTGAGACGAAACGGAACTCCATGCCCACGTTAACCAACCAGGACTCCAGCAAAATGTACAAAGCCTTGCAAAACCGCAGGGGAAGGATCGTGAAGGAATACAGCCACGCGTCCAGGCACGCCAGTATTCCAAACCAGAGCACCTGCTCCAGGGCCGGCGGCAGTCTCAAAAAACTCGACAAGCGCTCGAGTTTGACGCGCGACGACTCATACGGAAAATCGTTCGTGACGGAGCGATGGATATACAAAGGCGAGGGTCGGCCAGACGCAAGCTCCAACTGCAGGTACGTCGGCACCGACAGCGGAGGAAGGGGGATGGACGGCGGCATGGGAGAGGGCAAGGCAGGCTCGGTGATGAGCGGCGAAGGGCTGAGTTGGTGCTTGGATTCCTGCTCCAAGCGCCCGTTCCCCAGACCGATGCCCGGGCGGTCCTGTTTGGACCGGGACGCCCACGTCTGCGCCAGCCGTTCGCTGGTCACCGGTAGTGTCTGTCGTCGGGATGAGCTGGGTGTAGAGACTGTCCTCGAGGCCTGCGGCCGAGTGCGACCGTTGGACACGGAATGTCTCGATGCGACCGGGGTTCCTTCCAATGCATACTCTGGCTGAAGGTCCCTAGCAATATGGCCAGCGTGCGCTCTCAGCTCGCCCAGCGGCTGCGTTAGATCCGCGTCCGAATCTCCACCTGTTGCCTGTATGCTATCCGACAACACTCGTCGACCTTGTTCTGTCTCCGAAGCCAGAGGCCGATACGGTATCGACTGTGGCGACGACGCGAGCTCCTGCATCTTAACCGGTGATAGCTTCGGAACCTTCTCTCGCTCCCGATCCACATCCTGACCCTCCGAGAGCGACATCTTCCCCGGCCAGCCATTCAGCGCGGCGCCGGCCTCAGCCCCTTGAAGCACATCCACCAACGATGTCTGGTGCGCGTCATCTCCTGCTGCCCCATTATTGGTATGCTCAAAAACAAGCCCCAGCGCCTGCTGTGGCCGGGGAAACCGCTCGGCTTTCAGCTGGGCGTAACCATTGTGATCCTCCTCGTGATCAAAAGCCCCGTTCGCTGTAGTAGTATCGCTCGTAGACGCGCTACTCCCGTTCATCTCTTGAGGTATAGATTTCATCCTCTGACGCCTCAAGGTTCGCGACTCGTTCCCGTTCGTGGTTGCATCCCCACTCTCGCTTGTCGGCGTCTCCGGTCGCGGTAAGTCGGCGTTCGAATCCCCATACAACTCACGCATTTCATTGCGTGAGCCCTCCGTGCTCAATTCTACATGGCTGCCCTCCATTTTCATGGATTCTCCGGGAGTGCCATTTTCTCGCTGCAGATCGCATGAATCGACGGAGGAACTCGAGGGCGGGTGGTTGTCGTGGTGTGAAGGGTCGGAGGAGGAGGAGCGCCGGTGAGGAACCATTGCAGGGAGCGATGACGATGCGCATCCGCGAGGTCAAGGTAAAGCGGCGAATACCGTCGTATGTAGCCTCAGTGAGGATGTGAGCCCATTCTGTCTCCGGATGGTCCTCAGGAATAGAATGTAGGCTGAAACAGGGACGTGGAGTCTTGATGATGACAGTTGACAGATGGAAATTGTGGATATCGAGCAAGGACCGGGGAATTCCCTTTTGTGGTTAGTTTCACTGCTTTTGGTATAGTCGCCCGATACACTCACTACCTTAGTAGCTACAACGGGATACTACAAAAGGCGAGATGATCCTCAGGATTTGATAAGAAGGTTGATAAATTGTTATTTAGGTCAATGCCATCTATCTCGAAGAGTGTAGGTATCTATTTTGTGCTCAGGATACCCCACCAGTGGACCAGAGGGAGTAAAGCAGCATCAATCCATGATATGTTCCCGAAGAAGGTATCGAAACAAGAAGAAATAGATCTAGTAAGATCCAAAGGGTATTTACGACGGCCTGAAGCCGCCCGTCATGAAGTGCAAAAAGTGCGCTGATCCAGTCATCAATCAATCACAGAAGAAACCTGCTCTTCCGGAAGTCGTAACATAACATAAACCTAGCTGCTTCACATCTAAATCGTTTTGCGCAGGTCTCGAGCTCAACGTGGACTACCCAAATGCTGAAACAATCAGACGTAGTCTTGGTGATAGGGTCGCGGCTGAGAATTGTAGCCCTGCGGTGTGTATGCTCGGACAGGCGGTGCTCGGGTGCTCGGCTCGTTGGGCGACGTAGCACTGCCTGGTCCGCCATAAGCATGATAAACAGGAGAATTTGATGGTCGAACGCCGGCATTGGGTTGGCTCCTGGGGATTGAGGACGGATCGAATGCAACGTAGCCTCCTTGCTGCTGTGGGCTCTGCTGCTGCGGTCGGGGTGTGGCTCTCTGAGAAACGGGAGAGAATGGACTTTCGAAATGATTTCCGGCTGTATCAATGGCCAGCGGTGGTCGAGCCGGTGCAGCGTTACCCGGAGTGTACGATCGCATGGGATAGCCAGGTTGTGGGTTGGCTGGTGGTTGGGGTGTCCCCCTGTGACTCTGTGGAGATAACTTCCGAGTTGGATAGTCCTCGATAGACGAGACAGCAACTCCAGACGTCAAAGAGCGCGAGTAAGGATCAGGAGCTGCATTATATGACTGGTATGCACCATATTCCTCATCGTAAGGTGCATCGATACTGTAGGGGTCGGGATAACGGCGTGGCGCTTCCTCATAGTCGCCATGGCTCATCGTCGTCGGTATACGGCTTGGCGCGTTGATCGCTGACGGCGGCGCCGGTGTGCGCGTTGGCCGGGTGGTCGGCGGCCGTGATACGGGCGTGTAAGAACGGGCTCCGGGCATCGGTACGCTGCTGGGGACAGGGGGGACAGGCGGCGCAGGTGAAACCCCGCGATCAAGAGGGCTGTACCCGGAGACAGCTGTAGCCCCAGAGAATGATGTTAAATCCGAATGCGCCGATGATTGAGTCACCGTGCGGCTTAACGCCGGTTTTTCGGTCCATGTTACGTCGGGGAGGGTAGGAAGAGTTGGGTTCCGCTCCGGTGCCGCGGTTCCTGGGCGCGAAGTATATGGTGGGAGCGTTGTTTGAGTCGTAGAACGCGAGAGAGTTGTGACGGTGGGCGTCTTGTCCTCCGCATTCAGGTCGGCCACCATAGGCAGGGTAGGCTTCCGATCAAAGCCGAGGTTGGGTTGGGTCGGCGCGCGATTCACGGTGCTCTTGGCCAAGGCCTTGTCCACCTTTCGACGAACGACGCGCATGAGCCGGGTGTTGATCTTGCGACGGCAATACGCCCTTAGAGAACCATCTTCGGCGGGGATATGGTGGAACAGGAAGATGAGGTAGAGGATCACGGCGGATGCGAGTTTGAGGATCGACAGCACCCAAATCACGAGGGTGAAGAGCATACCACATAAGACCACGGCTCTCTGGTTGCTGTCCTCGGCTAGGATCTTGACGTTCTCGAAAAACTGCACAATGCCTGCTTTGTCGTCGTCCACGGAGTTTTCACCACCGGGAAGAAGGTCCATTTTCATGACGGAGTACAAAGTGATGGCATTGACAACTTGACGGGGGCCGTCTGCGAAAATCGTATTCATCCAACCTAGAATGCCACGTCAGTTAATACTCCAAGTAGTAGGCAAAGCAGGATGGTCTTACTCTCAAAGGAGAAGTACGCGAATAAAGCCACATACTCTGCGCCCTTCTTACTCTTCGTGAGCTCCGCAAAGACCAAAAAGCGTCTCCACCCACGACCACGTCTTCCCATGCGGATACTCTGGATTCGCGCAGCCAGAGGGTCCAAGTAACTCTGGGCAATGCTCCCCGAGCGCATCGCGCGAATCGCATGAAGCCACCGAAGAACCAACAGCACGAAAGAGATGATAATGCAAACCGCAAAGATCCATCGCGAGACTTTGAAGGGAATAGCTGGTTCAATTGATCCGGCCCATCGAGAGAACGCCAGCAGATTGACCGCCGTGAAGGTGTCGACGCCATACACCGCCACGGATACCAGGAGAAAGACATATACCAGAAAGTAAGAAAAGGGCGATAGACACGATTCGGATTTGAAGTCGTCCAGGTTCTGCAAGCAACGAAATCAGCGACACTCCTGTAACTGCCTATGACTGCGACCGTGTTTCACACTTACCACCGAGTCCCATTTCTCCTCCCTCGACACGGGACCCTTTTCGCGCTCACCACAGCAAGGCATTTTTGCACGTATACCTGGCCCTGCCAGAAACAGATAGCGGACGACAGAGACGCAGACGAAGTCGAAGTCGACGGATTCACAACGAATGGCGAGTTACACCTGACGAGGTGTTACTGAATCGACTTGCTCGGGCCAGCCGCGCACAGTCGCAATCGCACAACAGCGATTACGGAAACGAGAGTCGAGGAACGATATGTTCGGAAGATCTGTTCAAGACTTCGAGCGAGAGCCCAGGATAAAGAGTGACAGAGTTCGAGAAGATCGATTTCGATCGGCGGCTACGGGATCCCCAGGCGCATGGCCGTTGGACGGTCGCAAAGCGCTCGTCAAACGACCTGTCTCAGGGGCGAGGGATCAACAACCGCAGCGGATCAATCGCACAATGGCCATTGACCATTGATTTCGAGTTCGATGCACGACGCAGATGAGACACAAAGGAGCGACTGGAGGTATTCTACTCCGTATCAGTGGGAAGAATCGCGATGGGTCCCTTTGCCAAGATAGGGGTCTGATCAGGGCGCGTGTCTGTGTCACTGTGCGGATTGTGGGGATACACGAGGTATGGAACTTGGAAGGAATGGATGATGATTGACAACTGACAAAGCAGAGAAGAAAGATGAAGCAATAAGGAATGAAGGGGTTCAGCAGATGAACAAGCCGAAATGACAAAGAAAGAATGGAAGGATGGATGAAGAATGAAGATGAGGATGAATGAACTACTAGTACGTAGTATTACATTTTAGCATTCTATTGTCCCCTCATTTTTCCTCAAAATCATCACACAATAAACTAACAAATCAACGAGGGGAAATGAACTCCTTTTCAAGCTGAAACCATTCGGGCGCTAATGATCGCAGAGAGTTTCCTGGCCCATGGAGGAGCAGTTCTCCACGCAGAGTACATCCTTGCTGAGAAGAATGCACGAGGTTGTTTGAGATGATACCTAGCTCAACTACCGTCTATTGATCTCCCTCTACACGTCTGGATCAACCTGAACATGACTTGCACATCACCATGACAGACTATCAAGTATCAACATGTTAATAGTGCTTATCAGGAGTCAGTCGAGTGTCAACACCTAGTACGGACTACGGAGTAACCATGGAAAAGACACAAATGCTAACTCCAATAGACGAGATCCAAGTCTCCACAATAAAAGCACCATCATTAACGAAGCCTCGGATAAAGAACGCCCCCTGCTTGGCATTCTAGCGTTTAACGGCTGGGATGCAACGGAGCCTGATAACAATGTCTGTGGTAGCTACAGATAGTACGGAGTATCCGCAACGCTGATCTTCTTGGTTAAGAGACTACTGTATACTCAGTCCATGTGTTTAATATGATCGCATCCGAACACAGAAAATTGATACAGATAATGGACCCTCGTTAAGCGATGATGTCGAACCCACCGTAGTATGGAGACAGTGGACTCGAGCGGGGGAAGCTGAAACTGCACAGTCTATCTACACTCTACAGAGACTACAGGGCTGATGGATGAACATTTATTACGGAGTTTTTCCCTCATGAGGTTATGAACATGAACATCAAAAGACAAGTCACAACTCAGTGAAATCACAATGCTGTATGATGGGGCTGAAGTTGATCTTGCTCCCTCGATCGTTATCAGCCAAGTTTAGTTTCGGTCAACAGTGTCAGATAATGGTAGGAACTGGGAACTCTACGGCGTCAAGTCTACGATGAGGTCAAGTCATACTCATTCAATCATCGATCAGCTGCAACTGAGCGGTTTGTTCATTCGTCCATGTGAAAAGAAAAACGCCAGAACGCCATAAACTCAGCGGAACAGACACCCGAAATCAATCCTCCGACCCTGATTCCTCCGCGGGACGTGTGTTTGTCCATCAAGGACCCCTAGCCCACCCACCAACACATGCCCGCCTCCCCCAGACCCAAAATCCATCCCTGAAGCTGTCCCTTATCCCC